TCTTGGAGTTAAGAGAACGTAACTTAAGTCATTCTTAAAAAAGGAAGATGTGTTCGCAGTTTTGACGATCGGATACGGCAAAAGTTTAATATAGCAACTAGCTCCGCTGGTGGAAAAACGCATGGGACCCAACTAGGCATGTGCCGGTATCAAATTTTCATGCTGCGATTAATTGATTGAGCTTTTATCACGGTATACGGTATTATCACGATATTTTAATTGCACAAGAGAAACAGACGGATTGGGGGTATCTAAAAAAAACTTGCATCACAATGTGTAATTGTGATTGTCAAAACATTAATTTTATTTTTTAGTGACAACATGTTATAATGTTTACATGGTACAGTTACTGAGGCTACTGTTTGTATTATTGCTTAACACAATTTTCATGATTTCAATTAAATTCTTGGATTTAATTTCAATCTTGATTCAATATTGACTCATTTGGATAAATATTAGGTAGGCTACAGCAGATAGCCTGCATTTATTTTTTTCTCAAGAAAAAATATATCTCACATAATGCTGTAAACATACAGAGAGAAATTAAATATAATGCATACAATATAAATATAATAATAATATAAATATAAAAATGTAATATGCCGTAATTTCCATTATAATAACAATTATATAATGACAAGTAAACATATATTAAAATATGTAATAGTGCACATATTTAGCAAAATACTCCTCTCTATAGCTATTTTCTTATAGTCAACTAACATTAAATGGCTTTCCTGAGGTAAATGTAACGTTCTGTGACATAATTGTTCTCCTGCAGTGTTATTGACCTCTTTCCGTGGTTGAAAAACACTGATTGATCGAAAGTACGTACCTTTCGGTGGGTTGTACTGTATCTTTAATAAAAAGTAACAGATGATGTGTTTACTTGAACTGAGGCGCGTGATCTGTCACGTCATTTACAAGCACCAAAACAGTATTTATTGTCTGAATTTCGTTATAAAACCTGAGAGCTGATATTTTTTTCATATCAAAAGTAACCTGCTCTGTCTAGTCTGTCGGTGTCAGTGTCCTCTTTGCTCCGCGATTTTTCTCTGCGTGAGAAAATGGATGTGTGGCGCGAGACCGTGTGAAAGTGTCAATTGCGTGAGTCTCAAGCTGAATGCGTGAGAGTTGGCAGCCATGCGGGGGATAAATAGTCGGCAGCGTTCCTCCTTCCGCCGTGCTTCTTCTCCATGTGAGGATTGTTTACATTAGACTAGAGTGCGCACTGCATGCACACAGTGCTTATACATGTGATGTGGGGATTGTTTATATCAAAGTGCGCACGTGTTTTGCGCAGCATACGCATTGTTTTTTAAGCGGTTGATGGAAAATAAGCTGATGCGCGTTCTAAAAATCTAAATTCGGATCTATTATTTTTCACGGTATTTCGAAGTCCCCGCGATAACAATATCGTGCATATTCATTACCGCGATTTATCGCATTACCGAATACCGGCACATGTCTAGACCCAACACAGCCACAGCCGTTCGTTGCTCTTGTTGGTTGTAGCGCTGTCCTATTGCGTGCCGAGGGATATTGAAAGACAACCGTTTATCCCGCCCCTCGGATTGAGGTTTGCCAATTGTGAGTTCCCAGACCTAACATCTTGATGTAGGTCTGGCTTGCCAGGCTAAGGCTGAGCAGCTGATGCAAATGATTGCACGCCAATGTGCATTTGATTGTTTAGTTTCACTCGAAGTAGATTGGCCTCTCTAGCGATATTCCAATTCGTCGGTCATGACGTACGACTCGGTCATGACGTACGAGGGTTACCATATGTAACCGAGACATTACCTGACCACAATCTAACCCCGACTAAGAGTCCCACACTGAGTCGAACGGCGTCTCGTTCCTTTTTGAACACTTTCACTTGGGAATAAGGTCTCTAGTGTTTAACTACCTGCTGCGCAGCAATAACTAAACAGACTCCAGACAATGCCTTTGAATATGCTTTAATCACGGCCGGAGGATCTCAGACAAATTTCAGAGAGAATCCCCCCAGCAAAAAGAATACAACAGTTTTTCATAGGAAAAGGAGCATAGCAAAGCGGACATGATACATTACATAATTTCCCTACAATTTGATTGGTTTTTCATATGCAAACCCTTCTGTTACTAGGTAGAAGCAAACTCTGTTTTCTTGATTGCTTTACTTTGTTACTCAAAGTCACAACTTTATAAACCTAGACATCCGTCTAGTTTAATTTTCCCTTTTGTTATATTCGGACATGATTCAGACACACGCACCCTGACTGAGTGTTTTTGACCAAAGGGTTTTGAAACATTTAGGATTCAAAAGCATATGAATGTTATTCCTGCAAGAAAAATAAATGTTAGTTATGATTAATTAAAAAATCCATCACAGTCTCTATTTTGCACGTTTATCTTGCAAAGTTTTACCAGAATCATTTTCAAAGTATACTGGTTCTCTTTTTTCTTTTCATTCTCGTTCACTATCTTTCTTCTCTAGACTCTCTTTCTGCTTGTCTGCTACTACCTCATCCTGATCCACTTCGGTTGAACCTCCTTACAAATTCCACTCATCATGATGTCACAACAGTTTATAGAATGTTCATAACCTTTTTGTTTCGTCTTTGTTAAGTCATGAAAGAATTTAAAGAGACATTTCAATGTTTGATTACCTAGATGTTATTAAATGTGTTTATTATTAATTGATTAGTTTCATTGAGTTTAATTGCACTTAATTTGATTGACCTTTCTTACTTACTAATGTCATCAGACCCCCCCCCCCCCAAACACACATACATACACATTTTAGCAGGAATGAAGAAACATTCCATTTCATCATAAATTATTTAGAAAAGATTATTAATACAAAAAGAGTATACACTATCAAATGCTGTTGGACAGAAGAAAAAGTCATACAGCACATAGAAGACATTAGATAAAAATCTGAAGTATCGTTCAGAAACAATTGCGCTCAATAAACTAAAGCAAAGCCATACAATTTCCTCTTAAAATAGAGCATTTTAAATCACATCACAGCCCACCTATTATAAGGATATATGAGTAATCAATCCTGTTTGATGTAAATAAAGAAAAAACTATTTACATCAGTTTAAAGAACATAAATTCTAAAACATTAGAATCACATTAGTTAAATTTAGTTCCCAGTATCAAAGCTTGTGGTAAAACTGTGATTTTACTTTACATGATGCAGCAGATCTATTAGGCTCCAAAAATGTCTTCATGATATCTCTTCTCCACCTGCCAACAAAAAGATTATGATGGTGTGAGTTCACTGGTCACAAAGCAGTTCATACAAGGACATGAGGATTAAAACAGTGAATCACACCTTCAACCTCTCTAGAAATTCTCCAGCTTCTGTGATGGTCATGCCTGTTTTATTCGCCAAGATATCTTGCAAAGTGCTAGAAACATCACGGGCCATGTTCATGCCACCACAGACATACAGATGACCTGCATTCTTGTGTAGAACCTCCAAGGCTTTTTCAGATAGCTGCTCCCTCAAGACATTCTGCACATACATCTTTTCCAAACAACACAAGCTTGGTTACAGACAGAAGACACAAACTGATACCAGTGTAAGCGCATCTGATGAACAGTAAGAACAGACTGAGAGAACCTTACTGAATTTTGACACACAAAGTAAATATATAATTATTTTGAGTATAGTACAGCATGAACAGAACTTTAGAGATGTACCTTTGGTTTACCAGGTTGGCGAGAATAAGCTGTATTGACATTGTCCAGAATGCCATCAAGTCTCAACTTCAGAGTTTCTACTTTATACAGATGGTCTGTTTGTGAATCACGACATCCAAATAGCAGTGTCATAGGAGTCATTTGCAGACCTACAAATTTGTCAATTAAAAAAGGCAATACATTTAGAATAAAAACTTTGAGGATTTTAAATACAAATAACTACAGACAGTTTTATTTTAACTTAAATACAGTACCTACAAAATACAACAGTACTGTTTAAAAGTTTGGGGTCAGTAAGAAATCTTATGCTCACCAAGGCTGTATTTATTAATCAAAAATACAGTAACAACAATAATATTGTATAATAATACAGACTATTTTGTCTTTGAATATATGTTTGAAATGTAATTTATTGCCGTGATGGCAGAGCTGAATTTTCAGCATCATAAATCCAGTCTTCAGTTTCACATGATCCTTCAGAAATCATTCTAATATGCTGATTTACTGCTCAAAAATGTTTTATATTATCAATTTTAAAAACAGTTATGATGCTTATTTTTTTGTGGAAACGTGATATTTATAAATGTGAAATTGAATTTTTTTGAAACAATTTAAAAGTCTTTACTGTCACCTCTGATCAATTAAATGCACCCAAGCACACCATTTTTTTTAACTTTTTTTAACTTTTTTTTTACTTACTGACACCAAACCTTTGAACAGTAGTGCATTACTGGTTAAATAAAATGCTGGATATTGTGATAACTGGTTTGGATCGATATAACCTCTATGTCTCAAGGCAAGAGTCATAGAAAGCTTTTGTGTCTAAATTTCATGACCTTAAATTCAGAGCTCACATATAATACCTGTCTTTTTCATGTCGTGAATGCGCTGTTGCCAGAAGCTGCGGAAAGGAGCAATACCACTGCCAGCCCCTATCAGAATAACTGGAGTGATGGGGTCTTCTGGGAGATGGAACCCACTTGAGCTGAAATAATGAGCAGTAAACAAGTCAAGTTTTCTATATTATTAAGATATGGAGAACAGAATGTTAAAATGCCTTTATAAGTATTTAAATGAGATATTCATATTCAGCATTTAACTATCTATCATCAGTACCGGTGAACGAAGCAGGGAACTGTGTATCCTCGTTTGATGGTGTTAAGCCATGTGCTGCAGGTGCCATAACGCATTGGGCCCTCTCCATCTGCGATACAACAGAACACAACGTTATCCTTACATCTCACGTGGTGTTTGATTATAAAAGAATGATCCAATGTCTTTGTTGTGTATGTTTTCTACATGTTTAGTCTCATACCCTGGGTGTGGTACTCCAACACAGACACTGTGAGGTGCAGCTCGTTTGAATGACGGTCCAATGAGGAGCTGACAGAGTACAGGCGGGGCTTGAGCAGAGGAAGCTGGCTGAGAAGGAAGGCGGTAGGGACTTTTAGAGAAGGAAATTCTACAAGCACCTCCAAGAAGGTGGGCCTGTAGAAATCTTTCCATGTAGAATATTCCTGGAAATCCTATGGAAAAATGGTAGAATACTGTAAATGTTAATATGTGTAATTTAGAATAAAATCATAAACAAATGTCCCTTTAAATTCTTATAAAGAAAGAATGTAACGCAATTACCGATGCAAGTGCCTCAAGTCGTTTGCGATCCTCTTCCTGACCAGCCACTGTAGAGAGTTTGCGCAGGAGGCTTTGTGAAGGTGGAGTTGTGACATCAAGGAAGTATGTAAGAGCCTGGACCAGAGTGCAAGCAGGGATACATTCATCTTTCTGCCATCTCATTTCCACTGAAAGACAACACAGGAAAGAGTCATAACAATGAGCTTGGATTTTGGGCCTCTTCTCAAATATACTTGCATATAGTTTATTATTACAGCCATTAATGATTGTTACCAGGGCTAGAGTCAGAGAGGGACTCCAGGTGAAGGCTCTGGTTAATAGGAGGGGCATCTGGGAGATGCTTCACAATACCATCCACCAACTCTGCTGAATTCTCTGGAAAAATCCCCACATGATCTCCAGGGGCAAAGTTCAAGACCTCTGTGTTTCCATCCGTCTTCAGCTCAACCAGGATAGTAGAACGACTGAAAATAGAATAAATAAGTTGAAAAACAGCACTGTCAAATGTGTACAAGCTCAGCTGACAGTGAATGTTCTCATAACTGTAGCTAACATTCTGGCAAGGTTCTCTCAAAGTTATAAACAAATGTTATTCCAGTAACATTAGGAGAATGTTTATTAGAAAATGTCTGGTCTTTAATAATGTTCTCAAAACATTAACATAAAACAATATTTATACATTTCTCATTGAACATTTTTATTAAACATTTTAGTTGGATGTTCGTCTAACATTTTTTTTTTTACTAATTTCAGAATGTTCAGGAAATATTCAAAAATAACATTCACATAATAATTGCAAACTGATTAAATGGAATTTTCCCTTAATATTCACATAACCAAGAAAATATATATATTTTTTAAACATTTAAAAAGAAGAACTAGACGTTTTGAACGTTCAGAGAACAGAAATAACCTTACTATAACGTTACTGCTATAGCTAAATGGGAATGTTAGCAAAATATTCTTAGAACATATTTTTGTTAGCTGGGAGTTAGGTAATGAAATTGTAGATTCAAACCTTGACTGATCGCTCTGCAGATTCTGCCTTCTTTTCAGCGTCATAGGAAACACAGTTTTAGAGTGAAGAGCAGACAGTGCTGTAGAAACAGAAGATTAATATGTGTAAATACTGTATTAAGGAAATAAACTTTTTTTTTCAGTGTTTTGATAAGTAGAGGTAGAGGTTTACCTGTAATTCTGTCCAGGGCACAACTGTCATGCTGCACTCTGTATCTCTGTGGGTCCCAGCCGTCCAACTGTTGCTCAACACCCTTCAGCTGTTTTTTAATGTTAAACTCCACACACGCATCCTTAAAAACAGAGATATGCCATTAATTTGTTGTACACTACTGTATTAGTAGTAGTATAAGATATATTTGAATCATTGAATCATTCAAGCACAGAGGGAATTATAGAAACCTCACCAACCTTAAAAGCAGTACAAGCCCATGCAGAGAATGCCTCGTCCTGCCCATTAAGTTCATCTCCCTCCCCTGTGGCAGTCAGACGCTTGGCCCCCAGCTCAGCAAGCTTGTCATCCACAGCATGGGCAAAAGCACAGAATTGTGGGTACACACGTGAGCCAAGGCCAAACACACTGTACCTGTATAGAGAAGAGGATATCAGGGCTCCATGTTCTACAAGAGCATATTGACAGGCGATAAAAGTAAAAAATCTTAGCATACAAACCTGAAATTGTTTTTCAGGTTTTGAAAGTTGAAAAGCTGCTTCCTGAAGCTCTGAGGGAAGAAAATATTAGTCAAAAATCAAATTTTGAATTCCTTAAACAAAAGATTTCTAAGTTAAAATAAATGCCATTCTTTTGAACTTTCTGTTAATCAAATAATGTATCACAGAATGATGATATAAAAAAAAAATATATACAAAAAGCACATTTTCATATTGTTCTAAGTATAGTCTCATTGCTAAGCAATGTTTTGGCATAAGTACATTTTTGTTTTTATAAAAAATAATTTATCATTTAATCTGTGTCCCCTGATTTCATGTCAGCCCTGTTACCCTCACCAAAAACCCTTGTAAAATAATGTTAAATTCCAGAGACATCAATTCCAGGAATTTACATCATCTCTCAATCATGATTCCAACAGTTAAAATACAAGTAAGTTTCTTTCTCTCTCTTCTATAATGTTCTATTTTTGATGATTTATGAGGTTTGACTTGTTTTTGCTTAAAACAAGCACAATTATCTACCATGGGGTAAAATAAATTATCTTATTTCAAATGGAAACCAAGAAAAATAATATTAATTCAATTGGAAAACAAGATTATTTTTATTTATCCCATAGGCAGATCATTTTGCTTTATTTAAGCAAAAACTCACTTAATTGTGTTTTCTTAATTGTAATTGTGACAAGATATAATTTCTTGTCATTTTACTTCTCTAGTAAATGCTTCTTGATTTAAGAATTTTGTGATATTTGGACTGGAAACAAGACAAAAATACTGAGTAAGAAAATCATTTTTTTTTGTGCAGTGTGCATCTGGTAATTAAAGTAGGCCTATTAACTATTTAAATAGTTTTTTTTTTAAGCTGTTGTTGTTTGGTTTTAATGGTTCCAGTTGGTTTTAACATGTCAAACCAACCAAACCAGTCATTAGACCATGAAAAAGATCAGTATCAATAAAACAATTATTTTTTTCTTTTTATAATCCATAGTCAATAAAGCATCCATGTAAGTGCAATTACAAACAAGAGCAGTAAGATGACTGCAAACCCTCGCCCCAATCTTGCAATGTTCAAGAAAGTGAAACCAAATTTCAGCATCAAGATCTTGGTCTTCAGATGATCATAGGAAGACCAAGATCTGATCATCTTCCTTGCCAAATAATTGAACCAGATCTGTATATTTTAAGTTCTGTGAGGGGACATGCTCACACACAGACAAACAGATGGGTCTAATTGCAATACCCTTAAAACATTAGATCTCTTAGAAATGTAATGTGCTTCACTAATACAACTACCAAGTGAGTGCAAAACAATATAATGCCATTTAAAAAGGTAAAACTTTACAATATTATGTAAACAAATATGTGAAGTATATGCTGAAGAATGTGTCCTGTCAGTACTGTTAATATGACGTCAATCCTGTTTCTGTCATTATTTTCATAAAAAATATATTTGAAATGGCCTTCCAATTTTTTCTTAATTGACATCTGATCACCCTCCAAAATGTGTGTTCTTGGTCATCTGAATGACAAATATAAGATTTTTTTTTTTAAACAATCCCGGTGAAAAGAAGGAGTAAAATTACTGCTCATGTGAATTAAAATAGTATAATGCTTCTGTCTGTAACAGGGATGACAAAAATATCAAAACATGAGGTAGATGTCTTGGCACAAAGATGGCACAATAAAATTTCTTGTCATTTTAAGCTGTCTTCATTTCATGGATATTTAAAAAAAAAGATTAAAAAATAAGATTAAAAATAGTTTAAACTTAAATTAAATTTTTCAAAGTTGAAAAGGCACTGATTTCATGGAATGACCCAGCTGCTGAATATCACATTTTAATATATATATAATATATATATATACATATATATATATATCAAAATAGAAAACAGTTAATATGATAATATTTCACAATATTAATGTTTTTTTTCTTTATATTTGATCAAATAAATGCAGCCATAAGAGACTTCTTTCAAGAACATTAAAAAAAATCTTAATGACCCCAAACATTTGAATTTATATTATATATTTCTATATATTATAATTTTAATATAATTATTTAAAAAATGATACCCATACCACTCCATTTCCCGGACTTTCTCCATTGCCGAAAGTACTGGTGACCACCATCAGAAGGCTCTCTGTCTCAAGCTCACTGAAATTATAGTCCTCCATGCATACCAGCTGTATTAGAAATCAAGAATTAATATTAGTTTTGAATCACATTTTTGTTGATGTTCATAAACTGCACTATTAATAATACAACATTTGAAAGCATTTTTCAAAGACAGCATTTCTTACCCTGGTGTCGAAGGCATGGTTGAGCATGGTTTTCAGTTTTTTGGCAAAGGTCAGTGACTTCCCTGTTTCGGTGGCATAGAGAACAGTGCAGTGCACTCTCTTGGCCATGACTGTATTGATGAGCATTTGAGAAAAAAACACTGCTCTAAGAAGAAAGAACACAACCATTTTTATGTAAATGCCATTGGTCGTTGGCATTAATGAAGTACAGTGTTGTTTTGTTTGGAGAAGCTGCTGGTCTGTTAGTACCTTATCAGTCCTTTGAAGCTGACCTTACATCTCCGAAATCCTTTCTTCTCATCTTTCCACTTGTGTGTTAGCCATGCATCAGCCTTCAAAAAACACAAAAACAGCACATATACACTATATTTACACTGCTAATGTCAAAGTTTTCTTTAGAAACAACTGACGCTTTTGACCATGCGTCAACATCCAACGCACATGGCACCCTTTAGCGTCAATATGAGACGCTAACCCTACCCCAGACCTAAACCTACCCATAACGGAAGCGTCATCTAACTGACGCTAAAAGCGGAAGCCTCATCTAACTGACGCTAAAGGCGTTAGATGACGCCCGAGGATCAGCGTCATCTACCTGACGCTAAAGGGTGCCATGTGTGTCGGATGTTGAAGCATGGTCAAAAAGTGTGAATAAGATGACGCCTTGGGATGAGAATGCGTTGCATAATATGCTGATTTGGTGCTCAAGAAACATTTCTTATTTTTTTCAATGTTGAAAACAGTTGTGCTTATTAATACGTTCCACCCCTTCTAAAAATATGTTTGATTTATTATCAGAAAGTTTGA